CCAGTGCTCCCTGGCAAACCCCCCCTACCCCCCCAGCTCTGCCTGCTCACTCAGTCGCCATGGGAACCAGATTCTTCAGGGCTGGGAACAGATGCGCCTTCTTTGGCCTTTTCACTCCCACTAGTGCTCGGTGGAAGGAGGCCTTTACCTCCAGAGTCAGGAGCCTGGAGACACTGTGCTAAGCCCCTCCGCCACACTCCTCTTGGTGGACTACTTGTCCCCAGTCTCCTGGGACTGCCCATCCCTCTCCCCTGATGGGGCAGACAGGGCCAGCCCTGTGGTCGCTATGGGTTGTGGGCAAGCAGGTGGAGCTGACAGTCTGTTTCCCCATTCTCCCAGGGGGGCTTCCTCTTTCCTGGGCAGGGTTCCAAGCCCCTGTTACCTTGGGGGTCCTGCCCCATCAGCTGGGGAGGCAGTTAACCTCCCTATTAAAGATGGGGAGATGGAGGTCCCTGCTGGGCACTGATCTGAGGGGGTGGGAGCGGTGTTGGGTTCCCCCCACCTCTCTGTGAGTCATTGCCCTGTGTGGGCTGCTGCTCTGACTCCCTGGGATGAGGGAGGAGGCAGGTACCCAGGAGTTGGAGCTGAGCAGCACCCCCCTCCCCAGGCCCTTTCTCCTCACCTCAAAATGCAGCCCACGGCCACCATGGCCACGACTGCCGCCACCACCACCACAGACATCCTGACCACGACGTGGGACAATACCACAGGCCACCCCACTGTGAGTGATGGGGTTGGGGAGGGAGATTAGCGGGTCTGGGCCACCAGAGTCCAGGCAGGACCTGACACCCCCCACCCCACAGGCGGAGCCTGACCCCATCCTGGACAACTATATGCTATTGGTGGTGGTGATGTCACTCTTTGTTGGGGGAACCCTCGTGGTGCTGTCCGGTGTGTTGCTCCTGTGCAGGCGCTGCTGGGAAGTCCACCAGGGCTTCAACAGGTTGGTGCCTACCACCCCGCTGCTTTCTGGGAGGCCTGGGGGCCCTGGAGCTGGGCAAACATCTTACAGCTGGCCAGTGGGGAGCAGGTGCACCATACCTGTGCAGGGGCAGTGGTGTTTGAGGATGTTGGGTGCACATGTGCCTGTGCAGGGACCAGGTCCCAGCAGATGGGCTCCAGTGAGCTCAGAATGCTGCCCATGGGCATGAGCCCTGCAGGCACCCTTGCCTACCTTGCTCTCCTGTTGTCCCACCCCAGAGCCACGGAGGAGGCAGAGAAGACGACTACCACCTACTTGGACACCAGCACCCACCGGGTCCAAGGTGAGGTGCTGCCCAGGCCCCACCCCTGCCCAGGCCCCTCCCCCTGTCCACTCCTAGGCCTTCCCCCTCGGGCCTCCTGACCTTCTGTGTCTGTCTGTCTCCCCCACCAGACTGGGCGCAGCTCGATTCCGACTCATCTCTGTTTCCTTAAAGCCCACGCGTAGGTGCTCACAGGCGCATGCTGAGTGAGTGAGTGTGTGAGCGGATGAGCGAGTGCCCGCCCACCTCCCTGTCCATCCCTGGTGGTCAGTCGGGCCCCCTCGCTCCCTCCCCATCCCGTCCTGCCCACAGTCTGCTGGCATCAGGCACGGCCCACCCGGGGCCCACCCTCTCTTGGCTCTCCTCGCAGACCCCGAATTGAGGGGGGAGGACCTCGAGGGCCAGGATGCAGAGACCGAGCGCTTCCTGTCTACCAGCTCAACCGGGCGCCGCGTATCCTTCAACGAGGCAGCCCTGTTTGAGCAGAGCCGGAAGGCGCAAGACAAGGGCCGAAGGTAAAGGGATCCCTGGGAAGTCAGCACCCTCAGGGCTGGAGCATGGCCTTGATACTGGGCTCACTGGGCAGAGCTGGCCTCTGCTGGGTGGCCTTCATACTCTGCTCTCCCCAGACCCAACAGGGTGGACAGTGGGGCCATGGAGCAGCAGTATGTGGGCTGGGGGTATCTGGCTTGTGTGGGGTGGGGCCAAGCTCAGGGATGGGCCACTCAGTGACTGGCGGGTATGCTGGGCACAGGTATACCCTGACAGAGGGGGACTTCCACCACCTGAAGAACGCTCGCCTCACCCACCTGCACCTGCCACCGCTCAAGATTGTCACCATCCATGAGTGTGATTCCAGCGAGGCCACTGCAACCACCATGCCTCACCCCACAGCACCTCCCAAGGCCAGCCTTGCCATATTCCAGGTGAGTATGGAGAGGTTGGCAGCCAGACTTAGGCTTGGTGGGAGGGACCCCTACCCTTACCTGGCAGGTGGCACCTTTCTGGCTCTCTGAGCCAGGCCCCTTATCTCAGGATGGGGAGGGAGGGCTGGCTGGGATGCATAGAGGGGGGCTGGGCCCAGCATCCCCCCTCACCCACCAGTGCTCTTTGACCTATCAACTGCTTCCTCCTCCACCCGGCTCTGTCCCACAGCCCCCGGGGAAGGCCCTCACTGGCCGCTCCGTGGGCCCCAGCTCCGCATTGCCAGGTGACCCCTACAACCCTGCCACGGGCCCTGCTGACTTCGAGATCAGCTCCTCCTCATCCAGTGACTCCGGGGAAGGCACCTCGGTGAGGGCTCCCATCTGTCCCACTTGTCTCTCCCTGTTCCACTTCAGGACAGGTCAGCCTGTGGCCTCCCACCTCAACAGCTCTCCTTGCCCAGGCCTGGTCCCTGAAGGGGCCACAGCACACAATTGGGCTCTTGTGAACTGGGGAGCTGCCCACGGGCATGAGCCCCGCGGGGTGGGCAACACATAGGACACATGCACAGCCTCTCGAACACGAGTATGCTCACACATGCACAAAGCACTTGGGCAGCTGGGCAGGGTGTGGTCAGGACCCAGCCCAAGCCCCAGGGTGAGTACTCCCGGACATTTATTCTTGGACCCCCTCTGTGCAGGGCTGGAGAGGACACAGCTAGCCAGTACCTGGCTGAGTACCTGGGAAACTTGGGCAGCATCTGGGGAGGAGGAGAGAGCTCCCTGCTCCCCCTTTGCAGTTAGCCTGGGCTGAGTAATAGGCGGGGGACAGTGGGGAAGGGGGCCGTTTTGCCTGAAAGCATCCTTCTTCCCTCCCAGACGGATGCGGGTGCCAAGATCACCAAGCCTGGCAGGCTGGGGACCTCTGTGGGGCCCCGGGAGGCAGGTCCAGGCTCTGGGGCGGGCCCAGTCCTGCAGTTCTTCACCCGCCTAAGGCGCCATGCCAGTTTGGATGGGGCCAGCCCCTACTTCAAGGTCAAAAAATGGAAGCTGGAACCTAGCCAGCGGGCATCAAGTCTGGACACGAGAGGTGAGCTGTGGCCCCTGGTGGGGAGTGAGGGCCAGGGACCCTGCCCCAAGCAGCCATAGGGTGAGAGGCTCAGAACCCAGGGTGGGGGGTGGGGTCTATGCTCCTGAGAGGCGTCTCCAGTTCCTGCCCCATGCTGGCCAATGGGTGCCCTGTCCAAGATCTCAGAGCTGGTCAGGAGGGGGCCCAGGGCCATGCAACGAGCTTTTTTAGGGCCCCAGAGGGTAGTGTTTTTGGCTTTGCTGTCTGTCTATAGTGGTGGTGGGCAAGCAACGGTATATTACATGGAAACGAGTGTGGCTGTGTGCCCATAAAACTTTACAGCCCTGGCCAGTGTTCCTCAGTGGTTAGAGCATTGGCCTATGAAATGAAGGGTTGTGAGTTCAATTGCCGGTCAAGGGCACGTACCTGGGTTGCAGGTTTATTCCCTGGCCCTAGTCAGGGCACATGTGGGAGGCAACCAATTGATGTGTCTCTCTCACATTGATGTTTCTCTCTCTCTATTACTCCCTCCCTCCCTTCCACCCTCTCTCAAAATTCAATGGAACCCCCCCCCCCACAAAAAAAATTATTTGCACCAGGTGGAGGGCCCATTTGGCCACCCCTGGACAAATGACAGCAACGTTGAACCCAGCAGACCCAGAAGCATATGGAGTCCTGGATATAGGGCTTCTTTACCCTCAGCCCAAGGCAGAGTTATGCGGGGGCTTGGGGAGGTGGACACTAGCAGCTGTAACCAGAAGCTCAAGGGAGTTTAGTTGGCCAGGCCAGGTCATGCATGTGCTTGCTTCCTTGTGGAGGAGGTGGGGAGAGGGGACAAACAGTGTCAGAGAGAGAAGGTACGTGGCCAGTGCCTGTGCCATCCTCCTTGTTGGGGCCTGGCTCCAGCCAGCATCAGAGAGGGAGGGGTGAGTTCTGGCCTAGGTGCTCCTGGCCAGAGAGGGAGGGCCTGCCCTGCTGCCCTGTAGGGAGCCCAGAGGCATCCTGTAATTCCTGAGGCTGTCTACAGTAGTACCCAGAACCTACCTATTTGCTAGGTGACTGTCCTCCCTACTCCTGAGGCCTTCCCACTGAAGCTTCTCCCAGGCCTCTGTGGTGGGAGGGTCCTGGCCTCTGTCCAGGTGGCCCATGGGCAGGGGTGAGGCTGGCAGGAGAGGGCTTCACCTCTTCCCTCACCCCCGCAACCTGTTCCTGAGAATTCACTCCTTCCCACATCTGTGCTTTAGCCCAGCTATGCCTGCCACTAGGTAACCAGTTCAAGCCCCTGCTGTAGCCACACCTGTTTTCCCTGGCTGCTCAGGGCACTACTGCTGCCTATACACAACTCACACCTGCACAGCAGGGTGTAACAGGCTCACCTGGCCCAGGCTGGTGCCTGGGGTGGGAGTGGGGTGCAGTGCTGGGAGGGGCCCAGGCAGACTGATGTGCCTCCCTCTGCACAGGCTCCCCCAAGCGACACCACTTCCAGCGGCAGCGAGCAGCCAGCGAGAGCATGGAGCAGGAGGAGGGGGACACCCCTCACATGGACTTCATCCAGTACATTGCCAGCACAGGCGCTGCTATGGCCTTCCCGCCCCCCTGCCCCTTTCTGGCCAGCCCCACCAGCCCGTCCCCCGCTCTCGGCAGGTATTTTTCAGTAGATAAAGGTGCTAGGGGTGGGCCTGTGGGCCCCTGCCCTACCTAGTCACCCATAGGTAGCCAAGGGAGTGCTTTCCCCACCTTGTCTGCAGGGCAGACAGGCAGTCAATTTCCTCCCGTGCCACTGCCCCTCCTGGAGGCTGCCTCGCTGGGGCCACCTATCCAGCGTGGACCGTGGACCGGAGGAAGGGAGCAGGGGGAGACTGGGTAAGGGCCAAGGGGAGGGTCCCCAGGACTAAACACCTACACAGGCAGGGCTGCTGGGAGTCCCCAGTGGAATCCTTGGCCTGAGGGACCCCCTCCCGCCTGCCCAGGTTCCTTCTCAAAAACTGTCCTGACCACATCTGCCAGCAGGACCACCTCCCACAGCCCAAGGGCAGTTATCCTGAAACTCTGGGCCCATGTCAGTGACATGGGGGAATCCAGGGAGCAGGGCAGGGTTCCTACACTTCCTGGTCTGGGTAGAGACCCCTTCTGATTGTGTATCGTCCTCCTAGTTCTTTATTACTCCAAGATGGTGGGAGGGTGCTAAGTGGCATATCCAGGCACCTAGGGGTAGGGGCCCCCCACCTGCTTAGTTCCTCCCCACACTGCCCCTGCACTAAGATGTTAGGAAGAAGGCAGCTCAGAGAAAGCTCTTTCTGGGTGAGGAGCCAACCACCTGCAGTGCCTATAGGTGTTTGGGTTACATATTGTATAAGACATCCTGGTTGAAAAGCAGGCTCCAGGAGAGCTCAGGGTTTACCAAAAAAGCATCCCCTGCAAAGGAGACAGCATTTAAAAAAACTCACCTTCTGCAGAGCCTGACCAAGGTGGAGAGTCCCTATCTGTGCCCCCCTCCCTGACGGAGCAGGGTGGCTGGGGAGGGCATGGGGGAGCCCTCTGACTGTTGCGCCTGGCTTGCAGGCTAGAGGTGGAGGAGGAGGAGGCAGGCGCCGCGGGAGGAGTGAACCCCGAGCCCCCCTCGGAGCGCAGCTTAGGTGGTGCGGGGCCTGACCAGCAGCAGGAGTCAGACAGTGAGCGGGATGCAGGGCCAGAGCATGCCCAGACCATCTACCGCGACATCTGGAGCCTCCGTGCCTCTCTTGAGCTGCACGCGGCCACCGCCTCAGACCACAGCAGCAACGACCGTGACTCGGTACGCAGCGGAGACAGCTCTGGCTCCGGGGGCACGGCGCCCGCCTTCCCACCGCCCTCGCCGCCGCTCACACTGCGGCCCTCCGATGGCGAGGTGGGAGGGCCCCGCAAGCTGCTGCAGATGGACAGTGGCTATGCCAGCATCGAGGGACGCAGCACGGGTGACGATGGGCCTCCTAGTGCGCCCGAGAAACCCTCCTCCTTCCCTAGTATGGGCCACGCGGCTATAGTTGGGGGCAGCTTCGACGGGGCCGCTGCCGAGGAGTCCCCCTGGCCTTGCAGCCCGCGTGCCTGGCCTCGCCGCACACCACGCCGGGACTACAGCGTGGACGAGAAGACCGATGCACTCTTCCACGAGTTCCTGCGCCACGACCCACACTTCGACGATGTACCACCCATGGCTGGGCGCCATCGAGCTCGTGCTCACCCGCACACTCACGCACGCAAGCAGTGGCAGCAGCGGGGCCGGCAGCACAGTGACCCCTGCGAGCGCGCTGCACCCTCTGCACCCCCGGGGCCTGACCCTCGCCCCACACGTGCGCCTCTGCGCCGTGGCGACAGCGTCGACTGCCCACCCGACAGCCGCGCAGGTGAAGACCCAGCCGGCCCCCCAGCACCCACCATTCCTGCCATTGAGGAGGAGCCTGGCGGCAGGTGCCCAGGATCGGGCCTGTGTGCCCGGCCCTCAGAGGTACTGCTGGACAAGCTAGCATCTGGCCTCGAGAACAGACTCTTACTGCCACACCTCGCCCAGCCCGTTACCGCGGCCCCCATGCTGGCCACCGCCACTGCAGCACCCACATCCCCGGACCACAGCCCCGCCTAAGCCCCGCACCCCGCTCTCCTATTGCGTGCACAAGGCCTCCGTGGCCAGTCCTACCAGCAGCACGAGGTCCCGGTGAGCGTGTGCTGAGACCAGGGGTCCTCAGGTGCAAGAGTACTGCCCCCGACAACCCCATGCTGCCGCGGTGTGCCTGTGCACAGTCCCCTCCAGTCACTAAGCTGGGTTCCTGCATCATTCCAAGGCACAAGGACCCTGGCCTATCTGGAGGGAGCAAGGCGTATTCTCATCTTTGCGCTACTGAGGAACATGTTCACTTGCCCTTACCTGAACCGGTGTAGCCTCTGGATGGTGGTAGGGCTTTCATTCACAGGAGATGGCTGCAACCTAGAGGGACTGCAGCCCGATTGCGTGAGACATAAGTGCAGAGTGCCCCTCCCAGGGCCAAGTGAGCTTTGAGGCACGTCTGGTCTGTATTTGCTGAGTTCACGCCAGGGTGCATGCTCCAAGCTCACTGGGACATGGACCACAGGGTGCTGAGGATTGGCAAAGAGTGGACCGGCATGGCTGCCAATTCCCCTCCCTGAAGCTGTTACCTCACTGGGGCGTGTGTTCCGGTGTGTTCAACTGCAGACCAAGCCTCCTCCAAGCAATAACCATGCCCACTGCTGCTGCTGTCCCCAGCCCTGGAAGAACCCTCCCTCTACCCTCCTCCCCAGTCTGCAGTCGCCCTGCCCTGCGCATGTGAGTGGTGCGCCAGCCCCGCAGCCGCACATCCAAAGAGCCCCAAGACTTATCAGTGTTTGAAACTTACACAAACCCAATCGGCCAAGGTTTCAAGTTTCCCAAGCTTTATTTATTGCCAAAAGATGGGGCAGCTGAGCCACACCGCCCCATCCCTCAAAGCTTCCTGCATTCTGTGTACCTTAGTGATGGAGTTTGTTTTGTTTAATGGTTGATTATAAATATTTACTGCATACTCTTGCTTGCTCTGGGTTTTCTCTGGGGTTCTAGTTCAGAGGCCTTGGGGGAAAGCGCCAGGGTCCTGCACACTTGGCCCCTGCCCTGGGGCTGAGCCAAAAGGGCCTGTTGAGCTTTGGAGAGCACAGAGGGCCAGTGTGGCCAAAGGCAGGGCCCCAGGGAGGCCCAGGAGCTCCACACGCTGCCAACAAGACCTTAAGATGGTGGCCAGCCCCTGCACTGGGGTCCAAGGAGGGGCCCCATGTGCATATTCAGATAACTCACCTGACAGCACGTCCTGCCACCCGACAATTCCCAAACACCCCTCACAACCACAGCTCAAATTGACCTGTTTTATTTTTTTCTTAAAAAAGAAAAAGAAAAAAAAGGAAAAGGAACCAACCAACCAAAAAGGCAGCCACCTGGCTCCCACGGGCACTGGGCATGTGTCTCGGTGGGCATGTCTATCCACCCCTGCTGGGCTGCAGTCTGTTTGAACACATCACTAGGTATGGGAGGTGCTAACATGTACAAAGTAAAGAGAAGTCGGGCGAGAACCAGTAGTCTAAACGTAAAGTGCACGGCGAGGTCTGTGCAGGGTCCATGGCCTGGCCTCACCCTCCCTTGGCCAGGAAAGGGGCCTGGCACAGGATTGCAAAGTCAACAGGAGGTTGTATCCACTACCCACGATGGGGGGAGGGGGAATAGACCCCAGTCTCTGCTGTCCCCCAGCAAGAGCCCTACAGGAACACCCCCCGACACACACACTGGCTTCCTGAGGGTTGGTCAGCACGAAAGGTGTGGCGGTGGCCTTCCTGGGTTGTGGGCGGTAGGTCAGCAGTCGTTGGGAAGACTGAGGAGGACCTGGGCTATTGCACCTGGCCAGGGCTCTCGGAGATGGGCTGCAGATGGACGGAAGGTATGTCAATCCCAGGTGGGTAAATACATTCTGCATCCCCAGGAGCTTCCCCACCCTGAGGCCCACTGGTAGGGCAGTAAAACTGAGGCTGTGTCCCATGGGGCTGTCAGACATCTGGAGAGGCCAGGGAAAGGTTTGCTGACTTGAGGGGCCACCCTGTGAGTTACTCATTGCTCACTGTAGTTAAGCAGAGCCCTCAGAAGCCCTGTGGCTGGGCAGGGGCAGCTGCTGCCTCAGGCCCACACCCCACTGCCCACATCCTGAGTAAGTGACAGTTTCTAGCACCTCTGGAGCCTAATTCCCACTTCCTGGACTGGGGCGACCAGTGATAAGAGGGGGAAGCAGGGACCAGGATTACAGCCTCAGCTAGACCCCAGCCACTCCCAACACCACTGTCCCAGGAGAAGCCTGGAGATAGGGAGGGCAAGCTCCTCACCCTACTCCTAGCTTTCCTCCTGCACAGGGGCTTCACGTCCTGAGTGACCTGCCCCCGACTCTGGTGGCAGTGATCATAGACTGACAGGACGAGGGCAGAACTGGCTGTGGTCAGCAATGTCCACAGGTGATTTGGCTAAGTTTGGGCAATGCTCACTCCCACCCACTCCCGCCATCCCTGCTGCGGCCCACCTATGGCCGACCGCCCTCACTGCTGCTTGCAGGCCGACAGCCGACGGATCTTGCCGCTGGCGGAACAGGCCTTGCGGGCAGGGTTGGAGGCGGCACTGGCCCGGCGCTCTGCCCTTGATTTGGTGCTTAGCTGCACCGAATCGGTGCCATTCATGCACATGGTCTTGGGCAGGCCCCGACTCTGTCCGTTCTGACTGGCCTCCTCTTCTGGGACTTGTCCTAGGAGGGAGAGGGCAAGTGTGGGCTGATGGGGACCCAAGACCAACAACCCCCCACACAGTCACCCTACTCCCCAGGAATGACCCCACCTGTCCTGCCCAGGTCCTGCCTGCAGGGGCCCTCACCCAGGTAGATGGAGAGCTGGCCTCAGAGTTGGCTAGCGGACCAGGCCAAGACCCAGACACTTGGTGAAGAACCAGGGTCCTGGGACACTGGTGAGAGCCTCAGCCCTCTCACCTGTTCAGAGGCCACACCTTGCTGCGCTGCCCTGTGGGACTTCGGAGGGGCTGGGCTCAGGCTGGGCATGTCTCTCAAAACAGCACACTGGGATGAAGGGATCAGTGCCAGGAACCTACTATGACCTCTCCCTCATCCTCAAAGCATCCTGAGTGCTATGTGCCTGGGACTTCATGCCCATCTGCACTCCTGTGCTCACTGAGGGCCCACGAAGCTCAGTCAGTGACAATGAAAACTGGTCTGTTGCCAGAGGCCTGCCCTCCTACAACAGCCATGGGAAACTGCCCCCAACTCCTCTCCAACACAGAGCCCCTCTCTGCCAAGGGTGTCCAGGGCCTGACTCATGGCTTCAGGAACTTGCCACACCCACCTGTGTGTGCCCAGGTCACAGCTCATCCATGCTCACAGAATCCTGCTAGACAGAGCAAGTAAGGGGTCTCCGCACGGAAGACTGAAGCCCAGCCATCAGCGCAGCATTTGAAACTTGCCCCACTCACTCTCAAAGCACTGTGCCAGCAGCAATTAACCAGAACCAAAGCCCAGTTCTCCTGGATGGCAGGATCCTCATGGTGGGGACAACTGAGAGCCTCTGAGGGTAACCAACCGACTAGGATCAGAGTGGGTGGGGTCTTGGCCCCAGCACAGCCTGTCACTGACCCATGAAAAGGTCAGAGAGAAGTGGCTACCCGACCTTGGAAATGGGCTTTCCCACTTCTAGGTTGGAGGACATTCCCAGGGTAGGGCTCCCCACTGGGAAAAGGCCACCCTGGCCTCTTACACAGGCCCGAAGGGTGCTTGGGAGCCAGCTCTGGGGACCTGTCAGGATCCTTACTCAGCCTTGCTAGGACAATAGGCTGCCTGCTGGTGAGGGTAACACCCAGGTGCTGGTCACCTGTCATGGGCCCCAGTGCCCCTGAGAGACAGGACACCTTGCTCTTGTTTTGTGTGAAGGGGCCAGAGGCTCCAGAAGGCCTCAGATCCAGGACTAGAGTGCAGCGAGGTCTCTCAGGGCCAGAGCACCACACACACATTACCTCCATGGGCTTCAGGCCCCAGGCCCCACAGGGAAATGGCTAAGCCAAAGCCATAGTGATTTTGAGCCCTGTGGGCAACAGCCCCAAGCTGACCCTGTGGCCACAGACCCCAGGACAGTGGGACTCTTGGACCCTGCCCAGCTCTGCTACAGACACAGCTCCTGGGGCCCAGCCCATCTGACAGGCTACCACTGCATAATGGTTCTCTCTACAATAAAAACCTACCACCTGGCTGATGAGCCAGGGAGGGGACACAAGCATAACCCACACATAAGCGTTGGGCAAACCTTTATGATGGGGCCTACAGAACCAGGCCTGAAACAGAACTATGAATGCTGTAAAGGGACACATCTGGCAGCAGGGACAGCTGCCCAGTCTCCCTCAGACACCTGGACAGGGTCAGTGAGGGCCCGTGGGGGGTGCACGGCCTGGCCCCTACAGCCCAGGTGGGCAGGGTGGCTATGCTAAAGCATGGAGCTCCTCCTCGAGCTCCTGTGCGCCCCCGGCCTCAGCTTCCTCTGCAGAAAGGTCTGCGCACTGGCTCTGCTGGGTGCCTCGCTCCTCTCTAAGCCCTGCCTCAGACGCCTCCTCGCCACCTGGGGAAGCAAGGCCACTCATCAGGGTTGGAATCAGGGCCATGAGGGCCACTGGACCCTCAGGGCGGTCAGAGGGGCCTCCCCCATCGCTCACCCCTTGGCAGGACATGGTGTACAGTCTGCAGAAGTAATGCAGGGGGAGCCTGGGGGGCCTTTGCCCTCTGGGTCCCCACTTGCTTCTATGGCTGTGAGCCCCACCAAGCCCTTGGGGTCTGTGCTGGCTTGGATGGACCTGCCCTGAGGGCTCGGGGACACTGGGAACATCCAGGCTGGGCTGAGAGCCACCATGATTGCCAGACTCACCAGGCACCGTGAAGTCCTGAGTGTAGATGATGTCATCCTCAATGTCAAAGAGGTCCTCGTCCCCTTCATCATCAGCGCAGCCATGAAGGTCCTCCAGGTAGGGCACAACAGTCATGCCACGCCACCGGTCCTTGCAGTCCGAGCTTGGTGGGATGGGCACCAGCTCCTCAGCCAGTGGGTGCTTCTTCTGGAACCAGCTACGGAAGCCAGCACATCAGGATGGCCTGGAGCTCCAGCTCCCCATGCAGGCCCCGCCCAACCAGGCACCTGAGGACACTCACCTGTGCTGCCTGATCTGCTGTATGGAAAACCTCTTGGCTGGCTCATATTCCAGCATCCCTGAGGAGGGGACCACGGGGGAGTCAGCATGGGCCCCTGCCCAGCTCTACCCCGCCCACCTGGTGCTTTCTAGCAGTGCTGGGCCTGTAACTATGTGGACATGGCACCCAAAGGGACCTGTCCTATGGGGACATGAAGGGCTATCCTGGCACCAAAGGCCTACACAGCCATCTGTGGAAAACTGCAAAGCCATAGGCAGCGTGGCTGGGAAGACAAAGAGGGGAGACTGCTTTTCAAAACGAGAACAGAGCAGGCCAGGCAGGATGCAAGCCCCAATCCACAGGTGTTGGATCTGTGTTCACACACTTGAGAATGAGGAAGCATGGGGCTGCCCTCTGCCAGTGCCCAGCCATCAAGGCCATCGAAGCTGGTGACCCGAGATTCCAGCCAGGAGCTCATGGCTCCTAAAACGGCAGCAAGGGCAGCATATCATGGGTGCTCATACACCCGGGGGCAGGTCCCATACCAGGATAATCACTAGGAAAGGGAAACACTGGCCCAAGGCCCATCCAACCAGGATGGCAACATCACACTCAAGCCACAGAGTACCAGAGCCTTCAGTTTCTGCTGCTCCCACCCCTCACTCCCTGTTTCTCCTGCTCCCTTCCCAGTGGGAGGACAGAGTCGTGCCTCCTGAGCATGATGCAGAGGAGGTAATGGGGTGCAGAGCTAAGCTCTGAACCACCAGAGGGAGGGCGACTTGTATTCAAGAAACAGCAGCAATTTTGGAAGCTGAAGAACTGAA